AAAACTGACCTTAGCAATTTCAAAGAATAAAAGTTTAATGACGACCTCTTGTGTTTTTTTTAGTCAGAACTCTGACTTTGGCGCCTCCTAGTGGCTGAATTAGGCAGAAAGTAGCGCAAGAAATAAAGCCAAAGGTTTCACCATTTCCACCTTTAAATAGACAGTTATACTGAGAGTCCATGTTTGCTTTAAATAGCAGAGATAATTTATTTAATTTTAAACCTTAATAGATTAAACTTTTATGTGAAATGGCTGCAGAGTAAACTCTTCTTCTAACAATTGATAAACTATTTATACACAGCATGGTCAATAACTAATATCCTCTGTCCATGGAAACATCTCCCTGCTGTCTTACCTGCATGGTCTCTGTGTCCTCCTTGGCGTAGTGGGACTCTGTGGTTTTAGCAAAAGGAAAGACGTCCTCAGTGATCATGGTGACCCTGGTTGGGTTGGAGTCCTCATCATAGAACTGAGTGGGCTCAGGCTGATACTCTGAAAAAAGATTTCAGACATTAAATCGTTAAACTTCACAGATAATTTTGCATGTTTGATCTGCTGCTGGGTGATCAAGACTAGTTGGAGTCCTACCAGGATGATGGGAGCCTCTCCTGTCATAGTGGTCGAATGCAGACGACTCTTCATAGACGTGTTTCTCCGTCTCTCCTGCATGGATAAACAGGTAAATAATGGATGTCAGATTCAAGATACTTGTTGAAAGAGAGAAAAAAGACACAAGTGCATAATCATGACATTCATGTACAACTTAAATTTGTTTATTTAAGGTTATAGATTCCTTAAATCATTTATGAACAGTTTTTTTTGTCTATCTGCAAAATCATATCTCAGAAAAAACCAGATCATAATTCACAATAAAGCATTTTCTTAGTTATGAATCCAACAAAGATAGTATATCTTTATATATTAATTCTAGTTTTTTTATTCACTATTTAGTTATTAAATTATTTATTTTTTTTATGTATTTTATACTTATAAATGTCACAGTTTTCAAATTCATCTTTTTCTGATTGAGTTTTAACATTCTTATTTAGAAAGCATTTTAAAGATAACAAAAAGAAAAAGATAAATAAAATAAGAATACGTATAATTTGAAAAAATTAAATAAAAAAACTTAAAATAAAAAAAAAAACAGAAAACATTGAATCTAAGAAAATTGCAAAGTCTCTCAAAAGTTTTTTTTATTGAGCAATTTAAAGTTTAATTTCTGGATTAATTAACAAATTACAGCAGTAAATATAAGTGTCAAATTTCAAACCTAAGCCCTCAATTTGTGGCTGTTTTCAAAAACTTTCCAGGCCTTGAAAATAATTTTTTTTTATATTAAAACACTTTTGAGGATTTTTTAAGACCCGAAACCTGTTGTTCTCTACCTAATTTGCTCAGAAACAGTTTTTAATTCACTTCAAAAATGTTTCTAAGCTCTTTCAGGAATTTAAATTATTTATTTTGTCTTTTGATCGTGTTAGTTTGGTTTTAATAGCTGATTGTTGATGTAAAACAACAGACTGCAGCAGCAGGAGCTTCAACCTTTACTTCAACCTGAACATGGAGCCTTTCTGACCTGAGTGGTATCCCGAGTATTCCTCTTGGCACAGAGATGAGACGGCACACAGCACCAACACCAGAAGCCCTGAGAAAAGGGAAACCTGATGGAAACACAGATAGTTTCATAACTCAAAACTGCTTCGGAATTTTCATCTGGAATAGAAAGATAATTACTTTAGCAAATAGAATTTGGGTGAGATGTTTTAAAACGGAGAACATCCATACAGATCTCTCTAGAAAATACTTGGAGCACACTGCAAATTGTTCCGCTCAAATGAGCAAGACCCAAACTTTAGAAAAACGTTATTTTCTGCCTTTCAAAGCAGCTTTGGTTGATACATTTTAAATGCTGGAGATTGGCCTGTTTT